ACATGATACGACAGCTAGAGCTTTAAATGTGGGAGTGCTGCCGTTATACAACACATCAACCATAGATTAAGGAGGAGGAAAGAAAAAAAAAAAAAAGAGCTCCATACTTTAGCTCTTCTCGTATGACGTGGTGAAGCTGTTCGGCTCCTGAAGGCGCTTTGAGAAAAGCCTCTGCTCAAACTGCCAGCGCGCCCCATTCACAGATATTAGCCTCAATGGCCCGGATAAGATGCCATGCTCGGACCCCTGCTGTGTGCGTGTGTGTGTGTGCGCGCGGCGTCAGCCTCTACAGATTCTATGCTCCTTTAACCGTGGTGCCGACTCCCCCGCGGCGCTCGACGTCTTAATCACTGTGGGCCAACAATGCCGCTCCGTTTATGTGACAGTGATTTAGCCAGGTGGATAGAGGAACGCCAGCCGCCGTCTGTGTTTATGTTACGCCTGTGTTCTGGTGGCAGCGTGTGAATGGGTCCAATCGCAACCACGTGGGAGGAAAACAAATGAAGCAGTCTTTAGCGTTTCAGCGGCTGCGGCGTGCACAGAAAGGTCAGAGGTCGGCTTATGAATGGCAGCAGGGTGAGGCTTGTTAGACTCCTGACCTTGCACCCTTAGCTGTCCCTCCCCCCACCCCCGCTTCTCGCTCCTGCACACCTGATTGAGCTCAGCGGCGAAACCATTATCAGGCATGCATCTATTGGTGGCCAGGTCAGAGGTCATGTCATTAGTGGTGTTACATTTTTCTGCTCAGAACAGCCTCCTTCAGCCCCCATCAGTCTCTTTCTGCTCTGCAGCTAAATACGCCGCTTCTTGGTATCAAGGAAGAAGGGGGGAAAAAAAAGGCCTGACTGCTTTTGTTTCCCTCTCTGTCAGCAGGTGAAGGATCCTTCTTGCTTTAATAATGGTGGCAGGTGGGGGTCTACTCAAGTGGGCTCAAAGGCTCAGAGTTTTCAAAAACAGCATTTAACTTGACATACTGTAAAGCTGTGCCTGCTGGAATTAACAGAGTTTAAAAAATGTGGCGGTGGGAGGTGGATTTTGACAATCCACAAGGCACAGCGAAAAAAATTCTTAATTTTATGCTGTTATCCTCTCACAGCTGGACCATCCATTAGGTGGAGGCACATGCATGGATAAGCACCAAATGTAACCGTGTCTCGCAGAGGACTGGGCAAAAATACATTTACATTTACGGCATTTCACTAAACATCTGTGACAATGGGAGTTTGGATTCCTGGTTATAAGTGTAGCTGCTGGTTGAATGTCGAGCGTCAGCTCATTTAATAGTAGCAGTTGTATTCATATCGTTTTTTGATTTGACTTAATTAGAGCATACATCATGAAAATGATTTTTTTTTTCCCTACAGGATTAATGAGGGCTACAACGGAGCAGGGCACGATGAGAACATTTCACACTGGGTATCAACGCTAAGAAAAACAAGATGCCATTTTCAACGCCATGGCAACGTTCAGGATGCTTTCTGGTTAAGAGCAAAAAATATCATTTAGTACAATATGTTTTGACTTCCTTCATTTGAGCAAAACCAGGCTCATTTAAAAACATTTAGAATGTCCTGTGCAAATTGGAGGAACATCTCCATGATGATAATATATCAACAGTTAGTGAACACTTTTCACAACACTGTAAATTTACTTATATATTGGTAACTTTGTGTCTAACGCTGCACATTAACCCTAAACAGAGACTTTTCATCATTCCCTTACACACACATCGTATCTTAACCCCAATCATTTAGGTGATTAAAAGCACATGCTTACCTCTCCAAGTGATAAAACAAAAACTTCATTTCAGAGCTACTAGACTGATGGTGATATCACAGAACTTCATCTTCAGCCTGAACAAGGTGACCAGGGGGATTAATTGGTGTCAACTAGTAAGTAGGAGTCACCACACAGGCTCATAATAATTTACTGCTCTCCTCAACAGGAGGGACGCAACTCTCCTTATTAGCTGCAGCACAATTCCCTGTAGCATTTTATTTACCTCCACCCACCCACCGTCTTCCTCAGTACAGCAGCCAGCTGAGGGCACCTTTGTCTGAGCAGCTCTTCATGCAACCAGGGGACCCGTTTTCCTCCGTGCAGAAGCGTGTCATCCATCATTACTCGAGGCGGCCTTGAAAAGTGATTCTGGCAGACAGCTCCAGCCTAATGTCTGGGGGGGCTCCCCACGCAAGCAGCTCGCTGCAGGGCAAACTGGCCAAACGATGACCATTATCTCACGAGAAATATGGTTAAAAATAGAACAAAAACAAGAGTGATATATCAGAAGATACAGGTGTCGGAGAGATTCTCGATGGCTTTGATTTTGCCAGTTTTCGAGAAAGTAACTTCCCCCCCCCCCCTTTTTGTGTGATGCACCAGGGAGGATTTATACCAGGAGTGGATTTTAGTTTGGTTTGCTCTCCCTTTCTACTTAGCATGCAAATAGCATAGCAAGTTCAGACAGGTTAACACAGTGGGGCTTCCTTAAAAAAAAATTCCAGTGTGTGCACTACAAAAAAAAAAAAAAGCTAAATGGTACCAATGTTTTTGGCATTAGAACAGCTGCACCAGCTTAGAATAAAAATGGAAAACGACCTGCAGGTTGTTCGTCTGGTAGCAACCAACTGGGGTCTATAAAACATGGAGGATAATTTTACATGTATCCAGTGGATAGATAATGGACAAGACATTCTAACGGATGTTCAGTTCAGTCTTTTTATTTGTATGCAGACACAGACATCAATGATGTCATATATACAATAACACCAAAAAAAAAAAGAAAAAGTTAAGCCAAATGCCAAGTGGCTGAATATTAGGATGATATGCAATTGCATTATTATTGCCAAATATTGCAATGACAATATAATTCCTGAGGCTTATTTTGTTTCCCCAATCAAAATGTCACCATCACTCTTTGTGAGCTTTAAAATCTCAGCCAGTAAAAATCCTCTTCAGGACACGAAGTCAATATACACAAGATGAATGATCTACATGCAGAATTTGAATGCGTGGCATTGAAATATAATACTCCACTAAATAAGTCAAGCACTTATCTGGGAATGCGTTACCCGACACACTGATATTGTGATGACAAACTGGGATTTGATACATTTTGCAACTGTTTAACTGTATTAGCAGCAGGCCTTAGTGCAGGGGAACACACAGTAGTTCCCAGCACATCAAACCAAAGTAAAGTGAAAGCACAAAAATGTAATAAAAAGGTATCACACTGAAACAGATTATTCCCCAGCAAAAAAAAAAAAAAAGCGGGGGGGAAGCATAAGAGTGTGAAGGTGCCGTGTGTTTTAAATGAGAGAACTTATAAAAATAGATGTTGAGAATGGGGGAAAATAGAAATAACACGCAGCCCACACAATGACATCACAAAAATCCTCTACAGTATAAAAAGATCCTCTACAAGAACACCAGTGCCTTGAGGACTGGGCTGACAGGAGGATGTGGCATTAGGGTTTTTAGATCTTAGTAATAGATACTTCTGTTAGTTGGACATATACAGAGAAAACTGAAGGCTGAAAAATATCAGCAAACCTGACTGCAATATTAGTTTTTAATATTGTGATGATGGTATCATTTGTAATAAACTCAAAATTTTCTTCCCTTTATTTTCTATCGTCAATGTTATCCCCCCACCCCCCGATTTTGGCTTGGGCAGAAAGGAAGATGAAATAAGCCAGCAGAGTAAGTTTATGAGCAAGCAGAGTTTGAACGCGTAAAGACGCCTGAAATCTTACAGCCGAACCAAATATTGCATAGAAGAACATATAGGTGAACGCGTTATCACACAGACTAATATTGCAATGATCACTGTGACTTCTCTATATATAAGAATGGAAAGTTACATAAAAATGTTGTTGAAAGCTGCTGCTTGTACTTCAGAATTTTCCAAAACCGATTTCTGAAGTTGAGAAGTTTAAAGACTCCGGAGATTGGATATACGCCGCAAAGACTGGCGCGCCTCTTGCATCAACGTTTGCCTGCATCTCAAGCGAAAGCCTGCAGTGTTACTGCTGAATATTTCATAGTTCAAACAGCAAAGTTATGCTAAGGTTCTGATTGCACATGAGCTTTTTTTTTTAAATGGTAGAGAACTTCCATCAATTTGCAGCAACCGAACAAAAACATGAAACAAAAACACCCTCAGACCAAGCCCCACGCAGCTGGCACCAACCACAGGGCGCAAGCTAAATACCGCAGAATGATTTTTTTTACAACTCAAGCCCCCCTCTAAGTGAAGGCTGCACCCCAGAAAAAAAAAAAAGCACACATAATGAGTCCTGCTCATCAGAGATGCACTGACCCAGGACGAGAATATACACACGACTCATAATCACTGGTAGGAACACAAAGCCCCACCCCCCTCTGATGCCTGTGGCGTGCGCGCCTGGTCACCTCGCTCGGGGATCAAAGGCAGTATGTCGTTCTAATCAGTCCTCACAGTGGGCAACCCCATTAATTCAGTTCCGTTTCATCAGTGGTGAGCAGACCACCAGAGAGGTTTGTGCATTCCTGGGGTCCCGCCGTCGAGGAGTAATCCTATCTCCTAATGACCAGATTCTAACCCTGTAATTGTTCTGAGACCAACGTGGTTTTGTTTGCAGACATAATTGCAAGATTATTTTGGGAAAAGGGGGGAAAAAAATAAATAAAAAATGGAGGGGACACACATAGCTAATTTTCTGGGCATGACAGGAAAGTCAAGCAATATTAATGATGCTGTACATCATCAACTCCAGCAGACAATCAACCCCCCACTAAACCAGGCCAACGTCACGCGTTCAGGAGTGTGAATCCATGCAAAGCACTAAAGAGAGAAATTTAATTTTTCTTTTTAAAACCTATGCCATTTTAAATAATAACCTTGGTTAAAATTATCTAATGAAAATTAAGCTGAATATTTTCCATGAAACAAAAAGGCAGAAAATTCATGATGTAGCATATGCCTGATTGGTTTTGATATCAGTTTTCTTTTAGTCCTTGTAGCTCGTCTGTCTAATATTAGGATGTTTGTTAGTACATCAGATAATGAGCTTTTCGTATCTTACCGTACCTTTGGTCTCTGGTGGATGGGGATGCTCATCACAGACAAATTGGACCTTTGGAGTATTGTCGTCTCACCTGCAGAAACGACAGCAGTTTGTGAAAAAGTTGCACCTCAAACACCGAAAATTTAAATCTGAGAATGCAGCCGTAACATTTTTTTTTGCTTACGCCATCTGTTAGTAATGGGAAAGAAAAAAAAAAAAAAAAAAAAAAAAAAAAAAAAGGGTGGAAAAATCTTTATAAGGGAATTTTTTAGCCCCTTT